CTTTTTTGTTGTACTTATTTAATACTTATTTCCTTTTTTTCTCCTTTTCATCCACAGTAAATATGGGCCGTAGATGCATAGATTGGGAAATATCAATGGCTCATAAGGCTTGGCAAATGGGCGGGAAAAAGCATGGGGCATAATTCCCCTGCTTTTAAGAATAGATTGATTGATTTGTTGTACTTATTTAATACTTATTTCCTTTTTTTCTCCTTTTCATCCGCAGTAAATATGGGCCGTAGATGCATAGATTGACAAATATCAATGGCTCATAAGGCTTGGCAAATGGGCGGGAAAAAGCATGGGGCATAATTCTCCTGCTTTTAAGAATAGGTTGATATTATAATAGCTTATATATTTTTTAACGCTCTTAGAGTTAATCTGTAATTGTCATTTGTTTTTAGCATTATTCTACTAATAAATTATGCATTAATTACAGTGTCCAATGATATGTCTTCTGGGAATTGAACTGTTGACTTTATTCAAGTTATGGATAATTCAAACCAGTTGACTCTTGGAGATATTTTTTTAATTTAAAGATTTATGGAGGAACGAAGGGATTTTTTTACTCATTATTATTTATAGAAATTATAAGTAGTTATATGAAGGAAGAAGGTGGGCAGTTTTTGACACAGCAGCCAATGGTACTTATAGTAAGACAGAGGACAAAAAGGGAACAATGGGCTAAGGGCTGTGTGTGGTTCAATCAAATTAAAGAGAGGTCACTGATTGTACATTACCTGCCCCCATGTTTTGACCATCCCCACATTTCACCTTTTTTATTTCCTTTAATTATTTCATTCATTTTTAGTTGTAATGAGACAAGGGCAAAATCGGAAACGAAAAAAAATACCAATTTTAGAAAATCTGGACGATAATTCTTTAAATAATCTGGTCAAAATGAATAAACAAAAAAACTAGATTTAAAAAAATGTAAACTTACTTATTTTTTTCTGATTTGTAAAGAATTTATAAACAGTTTATAAGCACAGAAAAATATGTCTATTAGCAGACTTATAAATTAAAAATTACTTATACGCCGTTTTGATTAATTTATAAGCTCAAAGAAACACTACTTACGGTCTGAACCCTTCAACTATTTTTTTCTGCTTATTACTTATTCGTATTAAAATCAAATCAGATCAGATTTAATCAAATCTAATCAGATCAGATCAGAAAGAACTTTAAATATAACTTTGGCTACATTGTGTTCAACTTATTTTTCAGCTAATTACTTATTCTTATAAAATCAAATTAGACCAAACCAGATTAGATGAAAAATAACTTTAAATATAACCATAATCATATCAAATCAGAACAGATCAAACCTAATTTTAAAAAAATTAAATCAGATTAGATTAGACAAACAGAACGCAATCTTAATAGTTAATGCAACATGATGTTCATTCACTACTTTTACCTATGTTTTCACTCGCTTACGTTTCACTCGAAAAGTAAACGGGTAGTTAAATATAATGGAATATAAGTGTATTTTAATTGAGTTTAGGAAGTTTATAATATTGATAAAGAGTGGGCGCTAACAGTGACACTAGCGTTGTCACTACATTTTTAGAACACTTCCGGTACTCCGATCCAATCAGAAAATTGATAGTTCCTACCTCTGATCTACCCCTAGACCCGCCACCCTAACCCCGCACCTACCCCCACCCCAGTCCCGCCCTAAGCCCCCTCCAAATGGGGCGTTAAAAAGACAATCTTGCTATGTTAATGACTCTATATATGCATCCGAATAAGGTGAACATTTGAGCATCTTTATGAAATGTTAGTACAAATTTAAAAAATTTGATAAATTGTTTAATTACTTAATGAATTTGTGTTGAAATGGAAATTATTATCTTATTGTTATTCAATGTATTATTTTAATGATCAAAGTTTATAGTATTTGAGTTTAAATAGTCAAATGTGACAAATAAATCCGGATGAAGGTACAATTATTTTTAAATTAGAGTTCCAAAAATGAAGGATACTCAAAAAATAAAATTAATTCTCAAGTTGGTACGTTAAAGCAAAATGTCATATTCATGTACATTTCTCTTAAAATAAAGATTCATCTTAATTTTTGGAATAACGTCTAAAAAAAATTAAACTTCTTCATTTATCTTTTTAAAAAAATCAAAATTAGTATATGCATGAATCACAATATTTCTTCTTATTTTATACGGAGTACAAATTTAAATCACACAAATGTTATTTTTCAAAATACTTTTGAGCTATGTGAAGTAAAACGATATTTTTATTAGAAATCACCCTAAATAAGACTAAAAATAAATAGAAGTGCCAGAATAGGACTTTCATGTTTTTTTCTCGAAATAGGACTTCGCACTGTGGTAATGTGACAGTGTACATGTGCACATTACTATACTTTTTGATGATGTACATGACCATGTTTGGTACTGTAAATGTGTTTTAAGTCATATTTCGAGAATAAAAACATGTAAGTTTTATTTTAATATATTTTCAATGTTTTAGTCGTACTTTGGTCTTTCTTCCTACTTTTATTTGGAACGGATAGAGTATACTTTATATATAGATCAGAGTCTTCCATACATTTTGAATGGATACCTAATTGTTCTTATAAAACGAGTTTTGAAATATAAATCAAATATGCGGAGTACTTGTCTTAATATTAAGTGAATACTCTAATTATTAAGTGTATGAGGTCCATATATATTTGCACCTTAGGTGCACATAAAAGTTTTACATTTATGTATGGTAAAGTTTAAATGAATTGAAAGCCCATCTGGTAATGTATAATTTTAATATAGAAAACTTTTATTATTAGAAAAACAAACTAAATTATTATATCAAATAATTGATTATAGTTATCATAGAAAGTTGATATTGAATGTGTCAACTTAAACTATAAATATATACAGTGTCTATAAAATACTGGTGGTGTATCCAAATTTTAATTTACTTCAAACTCTGAAGGGATATTTCAGTCCAAGAGAAAAGAGTTTGGACTTTTGGAGTGTGAGTATCGGTTTACTAAAATTAACACATTTAACTTGTTTATGACATTTTGGAGTATGGTTATAAAGATGTGAAATTTGCACTGAATATGACTAAAACATGAGTCACTTCCTCAATGCAGGATTTAAACTTTTTTTATTCTCTAAATAGAATTTAATAATGACTAGTGAGAAGAATAATGTCCAAATGATGTTGGACATTTAGTTGAATAATGACTACTCCGTAATATATAATGACCAATAGTCCTACATTTGTAAATAAAAACATAGGTCCTATATTGTGAAAGTAATTATGTTTTAGTCATATTTAAGTAAATTAGTACTATAGGGATTTGTTTTTCTATCCAATTTTTTGAACACCGAAAATTTTGTTACAAAGTATCTTTTCATACATTATCAATGAATTGAACACATGACTTTTCATTTCAAGGAGTCATAATAGTGCCACTAGATTACAAGATCTTTGGCCATTTATCCACTTTATTTCTTATGGAATTAAAGATTTGTTTAAAAAAATATTTTGGGATGGTAAAAGTAGTTTATGGAACATAGATTAAAGTTGTAATAAGTGCAATAGATGGCCAAGATGGGCTGCACAAGTAATAATGATAGTAAAGTTGAGTTCATTCAAAATTATTAGAGTGAATTTGCTTGAAATGAATAAACATATCATGCACTCAACAAAAGTGAACATATGAGGGCCAATTAAAGTGAACTATCTTAAAATGCATTTAATTATCTATAATTAAAAGGTCATGTTTGAGAATAATATTTTTGATTAGCATAAGTATCTTGGATAAAAGGTTAAAATTAAATGTTACCGTGAGATAGTTTTTTCAAAATACTATCTCTAACTTCTAAAGATCAGATATTTTCAAACTAATCCTTTATGCTAATTTCAGCAATATATAAATAAATATTACTCACATCATCCAAAAAATAAGTCACATATCAATTAATTGATGATTCAAACTTTAGAATCTTACTCATTCTTCTTATAAACTGTCAAATCTAATTATAATCAAATTTAAGATAATTAAATTAACCTGTTTTGAAACATTATACACCCTTGACATTTTTTCCTTCTTGACTCGAATGGCAGGAAGACCACTCCGACTTTTTTACATATTCAAATGACGTGTTTAAAATATTTCCTCTGTCCATTAATCTCTTTCTCACTTTTCTTTTTAGGTTATTCAAAAATTTCTTTCTAGTTTCCTATTTTGAAAAAAAAAACTTTTAATGAATTTGCCATTATATTCCTATTTTTTCTCTACACTATTCACTTTATTCTATCACATTAAGAGTAAAATATAGAAAGCATTTACACTTTTTAACTTTTCTTGATCTCCGTACCAAATCAAACCGGGAATCTTTTTTGAGTTAATTTGGATGAAATTTACAACTTTTCATATGACTCGAGATCGATTTCTAAGCCAAAAACTTAAGCAAATAGATAGGAGCATGAATGGCAATCAGATAATACACCACTCTTTGGTAAAATTTATGACCGACAAAAAGGGCAGCAAAACGAAAGGAAGAAAAGAAAAAGAGAAAAAAAGCTGAAATCATGGAGAGAAAAAAAATAAAGAGTTCAAACAAAGAGAAGGAATGGGTTTTTTTTCCCTTCTTTTTCTTTTCTTCTGCAAAAACAAAAAGGCTATTTATCTACTGCTTGCTGCAGAAGTAGAAGAGGAATAAAAAAAATAGTGTAAAAAAAAGAGCTTATTATGAGAGTGGGAGCTTTTGACCTTAAGGACATCTCACTGTTCTTCACCCTATCATCATTTATTTATTTTTCTTTTTTTTTCAAAAAAAACACCAAAAAGAAAAATTATTACCCCTCCCTTCATTATCTCTGTCATAATTTTTTCTTGTAAATGAAATTTTTTGGAACAAGAAAGGAAATCTTATCTAGGAATGGAGAATTATATTAAGTGTAATATATATGACATACATATATATACAAAGATGCATATATACATATATATACATACATATACATACCTGCATGTTGTTATATCTGTTGAAAGTCTTGAAGCAAAGAGGGCAAGAGAACTGAGTGGGCCCAATCAAAATCTGAGAAGGGGTTGGGATCCAATACTGCCCCTTGTGCAAAACAGTCACCACTTGGTGTTTCTCTTGATCATTCTCATCACCATCTTCATGATCATCTTTGTTGTAATTATAATTAGTGTCATGGTGATGATGAGGGTGATCTTCATCACTCATCATCACCATCAAACCCATCTTGGTGTTATTAGTATTATTATTATTCTTTTTAGGGCTATAGTTAGGGAGCCCTAAGTTGAGTGCAACACTTACTTCATCATCATCATCTTCTTCTTCTTGTTCTTCTTCTTCCTCAGCATGAGCCCTAGTTGGGCTTAGCCTGAGGAGAGGAAGGGCTTCTCTGAGAGGCGGAGAGTTAGGGTGTTGGAAGAAACTGGTACTGCAAAACTCATATAATGGGTATGGTGGTGGTGGCGGCGGCGGCGGTGGCGGCGGTGGAGGAGGGGGGAAATGGTGGTTGAGGTTGAGGTGGGGATAGAAGAATTCATGGAAGAAAGTGGTGTGGGGATGATGATCATCAGTCATGGTGGTAGATGGATAGATGGATGGATGGATGATGAAGATCAAGGAGTGAAAAGGGTGGAGAGCAAAAACCCCAAATTAAAGTAGTAGCATAATTGAAAAGGCTAAGGTAAAGGTTACAATATATATATACCCGAGTGTATATGTACTATAGCTAGCTCCTTCACCCCACACTAATAACAAATCTTTTCACATTTTTCTTTTTTAGTTGTTATGAAATGAATACCGAGTATATATTACTCCCTCCGTTCCACAAAATCCTTCCGGTTTTGACTTTGAGAAAAAAATAAGAAAAGTGTAATTTTGGTTGACTTTCCAATTTTGCCTCTGATATGATGAGAAAAAGTAAGATGTGATAGTTTGATTATTAGTGAAAAAGTGTGATGTGATAGGTAGGGTATGAAAAAGTAGGGATAAAAGTGGTTTTTAATAGAAAGTGGAAGTGTTTTAGGGAATTGAGACGGGTCAAAAGTTGACCCCAAATATCCTAAAGGGACAGGTCAAAAAGTTGACCGGTCACTTTCCTCGATTACAAAATGAGACAAACTCTTCGATTGAGACGGGTCGAAAGTTGACCGGTCACTTTTCTTAAAAATTGACCGCTCACATTTTGGGCGATAGCCAAAATGTCACCTAATGTTACGAAGGACATTCTGGAAGACCAAAGAGACGGGTTGGGCTCAAGAAAGGACCGGTTGACCTTCGAGAAAAGGTGATTGGTCATATTCTTCTACTTAGCTAATGTTCAGCCTAAACCTGTGCAAATAAGGATCCGGGCCGGGCTTGATATAAATTATTAGCCCATTTACATGGGCGGGCCGCCCGGCCCAGATAAAACATCAAGAAAATTTTGTTTGTACAAAAAGTTTAAAAAAACATTGAACTCTTTTTCAATGTTTAAAATAAAATAATCACTCACCACATTTATATAGAAAGCATAATAGAGATATTGTTGTATACTACTTCCGTCCCAGAGTATTTGTCCACTTTCATTTTTACACACCATCCAATACACTTCTTTAATCCATTTTATCTTGTAATTTGTATATTAAAAAATTATAGAAATTATATATTAATAATCTATATGTTAACACAAATCAAACAAGATCACACATGACAATATTTAGGCTTACACATTAAGAGAATTTGATGAGTCAAAAGTGGACGAATACTCCGGGACGGAGGGAGTAATTAATAAACTCATCATACTGATTCATTAAAAGAGTATTGATTTTTGTTTAAAAGAGGTGAGTGCGTGAATTAAATTATTATAAATGAGTTATAGAAAATTTTAAAATTTATATTGGCTAGGTAATTATTAATAAAGTAAATATATTTGATGAATATTGGCGGGCCTGTTGGCCTAGATGAACTAAAAGTAATTTCTAGATCCGCCCATTTACAATTTGGGCTTGGACCGGCCCGCCCATTTGGGTATTAAAGGTTGCCCATATCCGTCCTTTTTAAAGAGCGGGCTGGGCGGGCCGAACGGGCCAACCCTTGTTTGCACATGTCTAGTTCAGCCACCCTCCCAAGCATGGCAATCAACATCAGAGACCAGGGGACCACATCGCCGCCCATCCATCACGAGATATACAGTGAAAGGAATGTTTATCATCTTGCAGGATTGATTGGCTAGGGAATATCTACCTTAAAGTCATTGATTGAATAGTGTCTTGGCTTGTAGCTATTAAAATCATTGATTGTACAGTGCTTCCATTAACTACAGTGACCATCCTGCTTGTTTCCTATTTTGCCCATGGATGAACAGGGAAAGATCACATATCCTCCTCTATAAATATGTTGATTATGGATAGAGGAGGAGATCCAATCTTTATCTCACTAAAAGTGCACTTTTGAGACAGAGTAAAAATTTAATTCGGACTGATGAGTTTTGTCCGGTCTAGGTCATACTTTGTGTTCTGATTGTGTGTGTTTACTACGAGTAGAATGTGTCCAGGTCAGACCCGGTTAACCTACCCAGTTATATTTACACCATCAGTACTTCTTCTATATTTTATTCCTAATATGGTAGATTTCATTTGGAAAATTTAGCTAAATACTACTCCCTACTAAAACGTACTAATTTTTTAAATTTAATACCATATGTTTTTAATTTTTCAATGTAAAATTATTGTTCAATGTCTGAACATTGTTCAAAGTTAATGTCAAACTCCACTGGATATTGTTCTCGCCACTGGACATTGTTCAAATACTATTTAGAAAATAAAAAATTTTAGTTACTATATTAGAAAAAAACATATTTTTTAGTATTATTTAGTAAAAATTTCACATTTTTTTATTTAAGAAACGCAATAAGTTATTCACAATATTTTTCTTTATCTAACACTTCTTCTAATTTCATATACTCAGTATTTAATACTTTTTCCCTCACATAAAACTTTTCAAACATGAAAAAAGATGACATCTAAAAATAACTACTTTTGATATCATTTGATATGATCTACCAGATATAGCATAGATGAGTCATAATTAGAAAATAATACTCCATCCGTCCATTAATTTCTTTCTAACTTTCCTTTTAGGTCTGTCCAAAAAATTTTTATCGTTTCCTATTTTGGTAATTTTTTTAATGAATGTGCCATTATACTCCATTTTTTATCTGCAATATATTCACTTTATTCCATCACATCAAGGTAACACATGGAAAGTCTATACGCTTTTTAATTTTTTTAATCTCCATGCAGGGCCGAATTGGAAAAGAAAGTTTTGGACGGAAGAAGTATTGAAATTAGGCATTTTTTCTGATGCACTTTCTTTGTCTTTGGGAAGTTTTATGTGACATAGGGATTATTGTATATATTTCTTAGAGATAAATATCCTAACCTCTCTTACTTAATTTATGTATAGCTAACCTTCACTTAAATGACAGATAAATCATTTGAGAATATTTATAAATGGTTATGGATAATTTTGTGAATAATCTAATTAAAATAGAGAAATGAAAAAACTAGATTATAAATAAATAGATAAAATCTACTTATTTCTTGAGTTATAAGCAACTTATAAGTACAAAAAGACATGTTATCATCAATCGACTTATAAATTAAAAACATCTTATAAATAGTTTTGATCAACTTATAAGTTCCAAGAATAAGCATGCTCTTATGTGTGATGTATATAATGCATTGATTAAGAGTAATAACGCATGAAATTTAGTGTAATGCCGCAAAACAAACTCTAAAACTAATTTTGAATTATTATTCAGTTAAATAAATTGTTTTGATTAAAATAAATTATTGTTGGGCTTTAGGCCTAAATTAAATATTTTGATATTCAATATCATAATCTGGATAAATCTCATGGAGATAAAATTCAATATGTTGATTGTTGGTGTGATCTTGATTGAGAACTAGAGTACACACTCAAATCAAAAATAAATAAAGAATTTGATTTATGGTGTGAGCTTTTGAGATGATTTTTGAAATAAATAATGAGAATAAAGAATATGAGAATCTTTTGAATAAAAGATCAATTAAATCAAATTTTTATTCTGTCAAAGTCAAACACCCAAAAATACATTGTCAGAAAAAATATTACAAATAAATCTAAAAATTGTATCGTTGGATATAATTTCACTGTCTGAGTGCAACGGTACAAACATATTTTAATTTGAAGAAATTGGACCAAAAAGTGTATCTTCACTGTAGTCCTCATCAAAGAATCCCTATTCAAGCACCGTCCTTCCCACTCGGCGAAACCCACAGTTATCAAAAGCTCAAGCTTGTGGTTGTGGCCCAGGAACCGTTATTTATATTCTAACACGCCCCCTCACGTGGAGGCGTAGTCTTTTTCGAGCCTTGCACATGAAATCTTAATTTTTTTAAACTGGGTGACGCTGAATTTCGAACCCGTGACCTCTTAGTCAACGAGGCTCTGATATCATGTTAAGGAACCAACTCAACCAAAAGCTCAATCTTATGCTTGTGGCCCAGAAACAATTATTCATATTCTAACATAAACCCCTCTCTATTTTCAAAAGTTATTTGTAAAACTTCGGTGGTTTTTAAATGGTGCACAGACGCCCCCTCTTGCCTATTTTTAGACATGAAATGACATTTTTTCCTTGGTTTTTCTCTATCTTCAAATTTCACTCTTTTATTTGCATTTTTTGTTATACAAATAAAAATAAAATAAAATATACGCCATCTTTCTCAAATTAAAATTTTTCATTTATTTAATATTCAAAAAAATAATTATTTTTAGAAAATGTTACAAAATTGAAAAATTAAAAAATGAAATAAAATACATTTTTTCAAAAAGTAAAATAAATAAAATAAAAAATTAGATAAGATATACTCACTCTATGTCTAATTAAAAATTCTAACTTATTTGTTTTTTAAGAGTAACATAATTTTTTAAGGACTTTAAAAAATGAAGAACAAAAAGATGAAATAAAATATGGAGTTAAAGAAGAAGACTTTTTTTTATATTTTTTATTTCTTTTCATTACCTTTTTCAATTATTATTTTTACTTTGTACATAATATTTTATTTTTCTTTTTCTTTTGTAACATTCTCCATAAAAAATCTTTTGTTTCCAAAAGTACATTATGAAAAATTCTAATTTGAGATGAGAAGCTTATACTTTATTTTATATATTTGTATAATAAAAGAAAATAAAATTAGGAAAATTTAAGATCAGAGAAAAGAAAGGGCGTAAATGTCATTTTTGCTTTAAAAATAGGCAAGGGGGCATCTGTGCTCGATTTAGANTAGTAGCCCAAGTTTCACTGAAAAATTTCCAAAATTTCCATTTTAGCCCAAGGTAAGCCCTTAAACATATTTAGTGAATAGAATATTCGTATAGATGGTTTCTACGTTCATACACGGTTCTTTGGTTGAGTTTTGCGTTTTACATGCTAGAAGAACTAAGAATCATAAACCTTGAATTTGTTGTTAAAACTTATGAATTATTGATACCAAAATGATCTATGAACATTGGAGAACATTTATATATAATTTAATTGAATTTCGATGACTTAAAATGGTGCTTTCGAAAATGAATCCAAGGAAGAAGATGATGTACAGGTAACACGATCGTCCGGTAACAAGCTACCGCCGGTACGATAGCTAGGTACTGTTTGAACGGTCGACTGTCCCAAGACGATCTACCATTCGGTAACCAGCTACCGCTAGAACGGTAGACATGGTACCATTCGGTGCCCAGTTTCCAAACAAGTGATGGCAGCGGAAATGGTCGATCATCTGACGTTAACGGTCGACCGTCCCAAACACTTTCAATGACAAAAAATCTAATTTTGAAGCTATAAAATCCTATTTTTGATACCCTTCAACTATGACCAATATGAAAATGATTTTTGGAAATAAAAATGATGATTTGATTAGTCCAAGAACCTTGTGTGATGCATAACGGTAAGCTAGCGTGTTAACACCCGGCGCTAGGCCGCTAATTGTTATGAATATTATGATGATTATTGTTTATTATTGATTATGATGAATAAATCATAATTTAATGATGAATATACCATGATAAAATGTTGTTGATAATGATTTCTGTTAATTATTGATTACGATGGGTAAAAGACTAAAAGGATGCTATGTGTGATAGTGATCATATAATGATGATGCTTTTATCTTGGAAAATATCAAAATATTGTCATGACCAAATAAAGAGTAAGAATAATTGTGATTGAATATGTTTGTGAGAATATCTTGACCAAATGATGATAGTGA